CTCATAAGTGCATGTATTTTGACATATTTAGTTATTAACATTTAATTTTTTAATTTTTAAAATATATTTTTAGTTGCAATAGAATTATATCATTTTCCCCTCTCTTCCCTTCCCCACCTCCTCCCGGCTACACTCCTTTGAGTCCTTCCCTTTCCCTCAGGTTAATAGTCTACTTTTCTTTGATTGTTATTGTCATATACGTGTGTGTGTGTGTGTGTGTGTGTGTGTGTGTGTGTGTGTGTGTGTGTGAATATGCACAAATATATATAAATTCACCTTGCTGAGTACATTTTTGTTGTTTATATCTATATAATCTCAGGGGTGTGTGTGTGTGTGTGTGAATATGCACAAATATATATAAATTCACCTTGCTGAGTACATTTTTGTTGTTTATATCTATATAATCTCAGGGCTAATCACCCTTCATTGGACAACCAGCAAGGGGCTTCATCCCTGGGAGAAGCTAATTTTCATTCCAGCAGTTGTTAGTTGCTTAGAGTTCTTTGTCTACTGGTGGGACCTCTTGAAATACCCCCCGCCACATTAATATGCCTGTTGATGTCACCATCTGTGTGTGATCCAGGGTTCTGACAGATGAGCTTCAAACCAGGATCTTAAAACCCATGTTGGTAGAAGAGGAGGAAGGGTATTCCAGCCCTTTCCACCTGAAAGAAGGAGAGGCAAGCTGGGGGACTGAAAGCTGAGTCGCAAAGCATTCACCGCCGCTGGCCCTTGTCTCACAGTGAGAACCAGGCACTTACACAGCCTAGAACGATACAGTGAGAAGCAATGAGCTTGTGTGATAAACATTTATGAGACAGGTTTCGGATGAACACTCAACCCCAGGCAAAGCCCTTCCACCTGCCAGGATGCAGGAAAGAGACATTCTGTCAGCTCCCGTTCTGTTTCTCTTTGAGAGCACATCCTTGTGGCTAAGGGCAGTGTCTCAGAACGTCTGGGCCTGAGTTTAGACTCTGACTCTTGGCATAGCCTATGAATCCCAGGATATATTGCTTAACCTCCTGGTAGCTCAGTTTCTCAGCAGTCTAAGAGAATAGAATCAGTTCTTCCTTACGATATCTGTGAGATTTTTAACTTGAGAGAGAAACGTATGGTACCGAGGCAGGAATGGATGGGGAGGAGGTCAAGAGCAACTGTGCACTTGCTTACCAGAAATCAAAAGCTCGAGGAGGCTAGAGGACAAGCATCTTTCACTAGCATGTGAGTGGTGCTCCCTAAGCACCAGACCTTCATTTTGACAGCAGCAAATATCTGCTGGGGTGTTTTCCAACTCTGAGTTAGCTAGTACTGCCCCACCTGATAACTGGGAGCCTTCCAGCGCCATAGTCCTTGACTGGTGTGCTCAAGTTGGAAGAGTTCAGTTTCTCCTCCTCTCATTCTGTCTTGCTCTGGGCCCACAGGTGCTGTTGTGAGGAAGATGGACTGCTCCAGGGAATGTGGAAGAGATAGGCATGTACACAGCAGTTTTCCATGCTTGCCTAAATGACTGCGCTCAGTCTTGCCACTGTATTTTGCTGGCTGTTCCTAGAGATGATGGGTCTCTCTGGAGAGTGGCAACCTCAACAGATTTTCCCAAGCTTTGCTGTCCCTCCCCCATGGCTGCCTGCCCCTCCTCCTGACTTCACTGGGAATAAAATTACTGCATAGTCCGACAAGCTAAATTCCCATCTACTTACCTAGCAAGGGACTAAATGCAAGAGGTATCTTTTATACTGAGCTCTTACCTATTTGTTGTAGAACGCCAGCCTGAGTGGTATCAGGCTCTTTTTCCTGCTTCCCTTGTTGACACTCAAGGCACCATCTTCAAAAGCAGTGTGTGTTTTTCTGTGGTAGAGACTCGAGGGGTCCAATTTTGCCATCAATCATATTTAATAGCCTATGTCATTAATGTAATTTTGTTATTGAAGATTCCTAAATCTATTCAGTGGCTTGCACAAGACAATTAACGGTTTTTCAAAAAATACATGTATGTAATCAGATCTTACCTTTAATTAAAACCATCCCAATTAATGTGGTCATTCCAACTATAATATACAATTTTTACTAAATAATACTTGACTTTGCATTTCCTTCACTTAAAGGACAGTGGCATTAGAATCAGATGAAAATTTGTAATACTTGTATCTTCTGAAAGATTGCCTGCTGAGAGAAAGATGTAAAAAGTTGTGGAGAATAAAACATCTGATGCATCTAGCATTTTGAACAGCGTTCCTTTGCTCAGAGCCAAACTCAGCTCTGCATTAACATAGATCCAAATTTTAAGATCCACTCACTGCCTAAGCTGATTGTGTAGCAGGGATCTTAGAGAGTCTTATTAATAAAATCAAATCCAGGGGCCAGTTATTGGGGTGAATGCTGGAAGATCAGAAAGACAGAACAAGCCAAAGCTAACCTCACCTGGCCAA